CGACTGACCCGCGAGCACCTGCTGACCTGCCGTCCCATCAAGCGACACAACGCCCTTCGCGACGAGATGGGCCGCCTGCTCAGGTACGCCACCCTCTCCCATGTCTGGGTGGAAAAGTCTGGCTACAACGCCAACGGTCAGAGCTGCCGCATCGACCTGCACTGCCGCAACCCTTTTCCCGGCGGTGCTCTGGGCCCAGCTCTGCCCGACCTGGGCATTGACGTGACTGTGCGCACAGCCCAACCCCCGACCACCTCGCAAGCCTGCATCAAGGTGGGCGCTGCCCTTCGCCGAGCCGAAAAGGAGAAGCGCGACTACTACACCGGTTTCAACCATGGAAAAACTCTGATCGTCCCTGCGGCGATGACGACAACCGGTGGGTTCGCCTCCTCCTTTGTGGATCTGCTTGGTCAGCTCGCCCGCTGCGCCGAGGCCCGTGGTGTGTACCAGCCGGGGCTGGATGAGGCCTTTGTTCCTCGGTGGAAGGGTCGCTTTGCGGCGCTGGTCCATCAGATGAACGCTGACCACATCCAGCGCCACTTTGGCGGTGTCTGCCTGCGCTTGTCGTAGGTAGGCACCGTCTCGGGGGTCCCTCTGTGGGGATCCCTGTGTGCACCTGTCGCTCCCTAGGTGGTTCCTCGTTGTGTCTTTTTATGGCTTGACTTGTATTTTTGTTTTAATTTTGCTTTGATTTTTACTGTATTTGTGTGGTATTTTTGCTGAATTTTTGTAAAGTCCTTTGTATGATGTCTTTTTCTTCTGTGGCCGGTTGTTTTCCTCAATCCGACGTTGTGTCTCGTTGGATGTGAGCGTGCCGTGGTGTTCATTGTGTTTGTGCTGTGATGGCTTATACTTGTGATGTGTGACTGCCCTTTTGGGTGTCTTGTGTTTGAAATGGCCGTATCTCTGGTTATACTTGGTCGTTTTGTACGATTTTTGTTTCTATGTGTGTGATTCTTTGAGCTTGTACCTCTTGGCATGATAGAAGCCAATGAATGTGCCTTGTGCTCTTGTGTTGTTTTGCGTGCCGTCGTGATTTTGATGTCGGGGTTGCACAGCTTTGCTTCCAGCTCTGAGGTTCAAACACCTAATTTATTTATTTGAGCTCTCCCGCACATGACGATAGAGCCACCACGCCCAGGCGCTCTCCCATGGAAGCAGTGGATGCATCCCAATTTGGTGTTGCCTTTGGCACCAATGCGCCACCACGGGCCGGCTCTCGGACTCAACCACCCCACCACGTTGGCACCGAGCCTACC